GAGGCAGAGATCAATAAACGTATATGTACATTACCCTATGCCATGCTCCATGATTTATAAGACTTGCCATGGAACACTCTACCACCAATATACTTCTAATGCCAAAATAGTGTTTAATTGCAACAAAGTTTCAATTTTTAACTTTATGCAAGATGTGAACATCCTCCAACTCAAAGCTAGAGTGTATTATCTTGCCTCTCACATGAAACAAGTGCACTAGCTTATCTTTGACAGAGTTCTAACCTTGCAATAATGGGCACAAACCTCCCCTTAAGGGAGCAAACTCTATTAGAGAAGGAATGTAACTGAGGCAGAGATTGAGGCATTGGCCCATCCCTCAAAGATGCATAAGATCATGGATCAAATAATCTTCAAAAGCACAAAACTAAAAAACAGCAATGGAGCCATGGTACATAAAAGTGAAGGCAAAATAGCAATGGAGCTATAGTACATAAGTTTGTGGAGGTTTTAAGGGATAAAAATTATTATCACCTCATTATGGAAATATTTACTTAGGGATGTGCTGCTAAAACAAAAAAGCATAAGGCAACAATCATGATTAAGCAAGTAGTCAAGATAGTGCACAAGATGCACAAATATCAAGTCTAAAAATATCCTTTTAGAGTTTTGGGAGAACTTGCTTGGGAACATAAAGTTGGTAGACTTTTGGAGCATCATCAAGGTTTTCAAAGAAGAGGAAGTATGATCAGAGATCTTATCTCCTGGCCATATTTACGACAAGAGAGGTTGACATGTGGAGCATGGGGATTGTTTTATACAAGATGTTTTCTGGGAAGTGTGCATTTCCAGAGTTGGTGTCATAAGAAATTGAGAAGAGACTGGGATGTTTGGAAGATTTGCAATGAACTCTTTTGACTCCAAAATCAAGCAAATGTAAGGAAGATGAATTTGAAGCTGGTTTTTTAACAGCCGAAGCCTAGAAAATGGTGTGTAAAAATGAAGTGGGAAGAAAAATAATTGAAAACTATAATCATAAAGCCAAACAAAATTTAGTTACAATGCATGAACTGTTCACTAAAAAATCACTCATATGCAGTTTTATAACCAAACTGTACAATTATGCATGAAGAAGTAAAGCTTTTATCAATGACAAAGTTTCTTTATGGATATGTTAAATTGTATAGTCAGATAAAAAGCCAGAATACATTGATATATCACTAAACTCTTTCATGACTGCTACTAGGACGAGCAAAGTAATTTTATTATTTCATAAAATGAAATTAAAGTCAGTTTTAGAGCGTCGCCATTCTCATGCTACGGCTTTGAAACGGTTATTGTTCAGTGGCCAATCAACTGACATTTCAACTGAAGCTGCGGAAAGCTGGTTGCGCCAAATGCCAGGAGTCGGATGAAAGAAAAAAGAAAAATAAAATGTCAGAGCAGCAGCAGCACCAAAATCTCTCCCCCCACCTCCAAAATCACCACCAAACTCAAAATCACCACCACCACCACCACGAGAAGTTGAGCACCACCTCTGCCTGAGCAGCTTGCCGAAACCGCTGGTGGCGCTGCACGCCCGAGTGCCTGTTCGCGCCATACTTCCCGCCGCAATACATACGTCGTATGAAAAGCTTCTCCACTTTTTCCATGAGATTAGCGGCCTACTCGGAAATATGCAAACAAAAAGTTGTAAAACAACAAAGATGGCTCACCTTGTCAGAGCTGCTAAAGTACGAGCCCGCAAATAAATCGGCATTGCTTTCCTGCCAGTCACCTAAAATAAAAAACTTCAGAGCTTTCTCTCGAGTCCTCACAGATTTTCACCGTGACATATTTTTTCAAGATCTTTGCGAATGCCACCACGTTCAAAGAGCTGTAATCAGATGGAATAAGCACGAAAGGATCTTACACAGACTAATTTGGAGTCCAAGGCCACGATAAAACTCGATGAATGCCAAGCGCAGCACCTTCTCTGCAGAGTGAACCTTTTTCTTGGTCGCGTGGATGTCCGTCTCTTGAGATATATTTTTCTTGGATTGGTGTATCAATGCTTGCGAGAGGGACGCTATCGTAGTAGTATGGTGCCGGAGATTTCACGTCTTGTGAACAGAATATAGGCTGCCGCTCAAGCGAATTTCCCATCTCAATGCTACTGTTTCCAGCAGGCATTCCTCGAGACGTATCAGCGCGAGATTTCTAAGAGAAAGCAAACTACCTGAGAATAACTCCAGCGTTTGGCATTTGCCTGCTCAAAGCCTCGGCTCTTTTGCAGTACTCCTCCTCCTTTGTCCTGTAAAACTTATTCACGTTGTTAAGATGGCCATCCAGGCGGGCGAATAACATCTTCTCCTCTTCGACCTGTGAAATCGGTCCGAAGTGTTCTGTCTCATAAAGCTCCTCTGGGGGCAATTGACGCACCTGGAGAACAAAAACTATCAAAGAAGCTTTCAAAGGAAGAACTTTGACAGTTACGAAGAACTTACTCGAAGGACTTCACTCTGGCTCCATGTCAAGATCTTCCGCCTGGTGAGACCGCTGAAAGTCCTGAGGGGCGAAGAATCGGCGGGCGAGGGAGAAGAGTCAGCAGCATCAGCAGTAGCAGCACCAGCACCCCCACCTGGAGAAAAAATTTGCTTCTTGCGGAAGCACCAGCTTGATCTGCTTGAGATCCTTCTTGAACTGCCACTAATCGCGGTAGGCCGATCGCTTCTCGGGAACAAGATGGCCATCGAGCTGCTTGGAGAACTTGACCATGCTGGATGAAAAAGATGATGCATCCCTTTTCTTCTCGTTCTACTTCTAAATGAAAGACCAACTCTCACCAAGTAAAGCGGTGCCACTGCCAGTCCACACCCCATTTCGCGTGAATCGATCGAGCGAGCAAAGCTTGCCTGCGGTTTTCTGCCTGTCATGGCGGGGATTGGGATCTGCCGCTGGAAATGCGAGGCCTGGCCGTGGATTCAAGGCGCTCGCGAAGTCCAGGCTCCAGCATTGCCTCCACAGAAGCGGCAATGCAGGCGCGGTTCTCAAGCACCCATTTTGTTTTCCTTTTCGTTTCTCTCGCATCGCAGCGCTCTGATATGGATGGATCGAGCGCAGCAACAGGTGCGCGGCGTGTATATCGACTGCAAGGGGCTGAATTTCGAGCAAGCCATGGCGCGCTATGGCCGGAAGTTGCGACAGGACAAGACGCTAAGCTCAATGATCTAGTACTACGTAAAGCCGTCGGAGCAGCGGCACCAGGCGGAGAAGGAGCGTGTCAAGCGAACCAAGAAGAGGCTCTTCCTGGAGAAGCTCAAGTTCGTCTTGATGCTGCGAGCAAGGTTTGCATTCCTCCTTTTGTTCTTCATCCACCATAGCTGGTTTTCATTTCTTCTTCCTTTCTCTTTCTCCTCGGAGAAATCCATTCTTTTCCTTTTTGCGAGATGTTGAATCGCTTAGTGATGATCTTCTTCTCGTTTATCCAGAGGGCTGTGATCGAACTTTGGTGATCTTCTTTTAATTTGTTTTCCTCTCTACTTCTGTTTTTATGAACTAACAAGAGCCCTAAGTTTCTTTTCTATCATGGCCTCGGGAGGGCCTCTTCTCGCTCTCGACGATCTCATCCATGATCTTAGCAAAGATCCAGCATCACCGAATTTCCCCTGGTTGGATCGCCCATCAGCAACGCAACAAGATGATCATCTCCCTCAGGATCTCGATCTCGTAGAGGTGCTTTCTCTTTCTTTCAATCCCTCGATCAGTGCTCAGGAATACCACCGTTGCAGGAAATCCAGGAGACCTGCCGCGATCTCAATGCCGCATTGGAGCGCCCCGGCTACGCTTGGACCTCGCTCAACCAGAAGGTGGGTCGCCTCCATCGGTCGATTCCTCCCCAATTTCTCATGTGGGTCGTGTGGGAAATCTCAGCTATGCACGAGCCTGGCCGCGGCAGCCGAGATCGTTCGAATCAGCCACGCGAATTTCGCGCAATTGCTCCAGAAACTCCAGGCCCTGCGCGCGATTGTTAGCAGGGGAGAAGGAACCCTAAAGATGGTATAAATGCCGAGTATATTCTCTTAGGGTAGGGCGTAACAATTTTGCTGTAAAGTATATCTTTAGAATATGCTCATTTCAATCTAGATCTATGCGCGACAAATCTCGATTTCGCGCTAGAAATCTTGATTTCTACTGTAGGAATTGCTCTGGTCGGTGTGTGCTCACCAAGGGAGAATCTGCTGTGTACCCGATTTTTTTCGAGTACCAGAATTAATGGTTTTTTGTTCTTCTCTTTTATATCCAGATCGAGAGTGTGAGGCTTCTTCCAAGAGGGCAATTGTTCTAGAATGTTTGGAGGTGGATACAGGAAAGGCGATGGATTGCCTGCTGTAAGCACTGCGAACATTTTCTCTGCGCTTAAGCGAAAATCCAGCAAGAAGAAGTCGGACAAGCATGCATTGCAAAGCAGCCAGAGTAGTTTTGGGTGCCAAGTCCGGCTACCGTCAAGTCTTGGGCCGATGTCGAGGACGACAACGATTACTTTGCGACCACCGCTCTGCTGCCAACCATAACAACAAAGGCCTCGCAGGAATCCTCTGTGAACCCTGACTTGAATCACTTGGAGGTAACCATCTTTTTTCGTAGCTCTCCTCTTTTTTCTTTTCTGTTCTTCCTGATGGTATTTATGTTAGGATTCGATGATGATGCCGACAAAGAGGTCGAAGAAGAGAAAAGCGGTTTCGTAATTCCATGCCCCATGTCAATCACGTCCAAAACGTTTTCGTGTTTGCAATTTACCATGATCTCAAGCTCCTTGAGGATTTGCTTGTGAACCTCCTTATTTCCTAGCACTACTCTCTCGCCCAGATGATCGTATCCATGCGCCACCGCAGACGCATAGTTATATCTGCCCAACAGTTTATGGAGAATCGCGCCCTAAAACCCTAAACCCAAATTTTCGACACTCGGATTTGAACCCCAATCGGCCACCCTTTTTCGTCGCCTTTACTGCGACTATAAAAGAGAGTGTTCCTCCATAGGGTTTCTCCATAGCTTGAGAAATGAAAGTGTTGGGCAGATATAACTATGCGTCTGGATATGGCGAAAGCTCTGTGGTGGCGCATGGATACGATGATCTGGGCGAGAGAGTCGTGATAAAAAATATGGGTAAAGGCAAGGAGGTTCACAAGCAAATCCTCAAGGAGTTTGAGATCATGGTAAATTGCAAACATGAAAACGTTTTGGACGTGATTGACATGGGGCTAGACAAGGACGGGAATTACTACATGGTATTCGAGCATACTAATGGTAACGTGTTGGAGTATCTACAAATGGACCTTTCGAAAGCTGGCAAAGAATCGGAGCTTGGTTCGAGGTTTTTCACCAGGGAAGAGAAGATCAAGGAGATAATGCGCCAGCTCCTTCTAGGGCTTGCATGGCTGCATGAACGTGGGGTGGCGCACCAGGGCATGACAAAAGATAACGTCCTGGTGAAGGTCAAAGGATGTGATTTCAAGGTGAAGCTGGGCGATTTTAGCTGTGCGAGGAGGCTTTGCAACAATCCCCCAGAAACAACCCTGAAAGTGGGAACTGCAGTGGACATATGGAGTGCTGGGATATTGCTAGTGGGGATGATCTTGCCATTGGAAATGCCTGAGCTACCAGAGAAAGAGGCTAAAGGAGAGGTGTTGGAGACGATCAAAAAATTTCTCCGGGCTTTGGATGATTTAATCAAGGACAAGGACGCCCTGGAGTTAGTCAAATCGATGCTAGCGTCTGATCCAGTTACTGCCCGGCAAGCTTTAGCTTTCAGGTATTTACATCGCAATACCCAATAACATATGATATCTTAGATACAAAATATTGTAAAGTAAAAATATGAGTTGTGTCCGACACGAAAAGAAGATAAGTAAAATAGACTAATAATAATATTTGAATGGTAGAAGACTGAACTATACTAAAAGGTGTTTAGGAAGGTTTATAAATTATAAGTATGTTTATAATTATAAATACAAGATTAATCTCAACGTTGTAGAAGATCCCAGGAACGCTGGTAAACAAAAAAGCTTGGCACGTTTTTTTTTTTTATGCTTTCTGATCCTTTTTTCTTTTCTTTTGTGTGTGTGACGTTGGGCGCGGTTGCAGAGGACATGTCTGGGATCGTCAAGAGAGCACCACCACTACAAGGGCTGGACATGATCAAGGAAGCTCAAGGAGAATATGCTGCTTGCAGCACAGGCAACTAATTTTCCTTTCTTTTTACATTTGTAATTAACATAAACTCCTTTTTTTCCATCTTTTTCTTGAAGCTAGGTGCTTTTTCTGCAAAACAAATCCTTTAGGTTTTCCTAACCATTCATTTTTTCGAGCGATGGCAGACTATGTGTGGGCGAGTGGCGCGAGGTTGCTAGGCGCTGGACCAGATGGAGAGGTGAGGGTTGGGTTCCACCGAAAGACTGGAGACAAAGTAGCCATGAAGAAGATCTACGAGCACGAGTGCCTTTACGATGCCATCATCAACGAGTCGGAGATCCTGGAAGAGGTAGCGCACGACAACGTTGTCAATTTCCTTGGGTTGACCTGCAACAACCAGGGTACGTTCATGGTGATGGAGCTCATGGACGGGAGTTTGAGCGATGTGATCTCGTCACGCAAGCTTGGGGAGCACGACATCAGGGCCGTGATGCGCCAGATCCTCGAGGGCCTGGCGTGGATTCACGCGCACGGAATCGTTCACCAAGACGTCAAGACGAGCAACGTTCTCGTCAAAAGGGATGGAGAGAAGAATAAGTTTGTTGTGAAGCTGGCGGACTTCGCTACCGCGAGGAGGCTGCGGACACGCCCCTGGTCGAACAAGGTCGGGACCTTAACGTTCAACGCTCCGGAGCTTCTCAAGGGTGCCACCAGCTTTGGCACCGCAATCGACGTGTGGGGGGCCGGGTGTATATTCGCGGAGATGCTCCTGGGTAGCGATCCCTTTGATGTGCCCGACGATGGGGACTCGCTCAACTATTTTGTGGCTGATTTCGCCAAGAAGCTGGACATCGATGGCTGTGGCATGGGCTATCAAGACAGGCGCCGAGAGCGAGCACGTGAGAGGATCTTGGAGAAGATGGTGTGGTGGAAAGCCGAGGATGTGAGAAGCGGAATGAAAGACCCCGATGCAGTGGAGCTGCTCAAGAGGATGCTGGCAATTGATCCGGCGAGGAGGATCTCGGTGCAAAACGCCTTGAAGATGCCATATTTCCAAGAGAAGGCCGACGACACAGCCACGCCAGTGCTCCTGAAAATGACGACTGCAAGTGGAAATTTTAGACCAGCTTGGGTTAAATTCAACAATGCAGCCCCATCAATAGCTACAATGTAAACAATGCTTATGAAGACTGTGAATGTATATATTCAAAGTTTTGCAAAACATTTTATCTTTTTCTCTAAGAAGATTATGTAAAGAAAAAAATTTAAAAATTTATTATATTAATAATTATAATTATGTTTCTAATTTTGTCTCCTGGAACTCACTGCTCGGATCTGTCATTGGAAATGGCAACTTAGAAGCGGCAGCGCGGTTCTTCGAGCGTTTTCCCAAGAAGAACGTCGTCTCCTACAATACCATGATCGCAGGGAATGCTCAGGCCGGAGAGCTAAGCTCTTGCTTCGATCTGGTGGCGAAGATGGCAATCGAAGGACTCACTCCCGACGAGCAAGCCTTCAGTGTTCTCGCTGCATCCAGCCATGGCGGAAAGCTAGAACAGGGACTCCACCACTTCGTGCTCATGAGCGGCGACTTTGAAATCACAGCTTTGAGGGAGCACTACGATTCAGTCACAGACATCCTGGGACGGGCCGGGAACCTGGAACTCGCTCGCTCGGTCGTCCAAGCCATGCCATTTCTCCCGGCTTGGGGATCGCTACTCGGTGGCTATCAGATGCAAAGTGGCCAAGGCTTCACGCAACGAGCAGCCAGGAGCGTTTCCGAGCTGGGCTTGGGGCGAGCAAACAGCCATACCAAGTGGTACACAAATTCACGTTATATCATTGATTTTAAAATATGATCTGTATGATCAAACTACACCCTGGTTTACATTTATCTCTTCATGTACTAACAGTAAGCGCTCACCAAGTTGGCTGATGGAGGCATGTATTTAACACACTCACGCTGCTCGAACTTTCTTGACAACCAAGTCGCTACTAAAACCGGGAGCACTCCTCTTCACTCCACAGCGCTTCCTCTTTTGAATCGTCTTACTGCTGCAATTCTCCACGATCCAGGGATGCTCCAGCACACCATCCAACGTCAACCTCTCGCTCGGCTCCACAGCCAGCATCCCGCAGATGAGATCCTCCGCCTCGTCTGAGAGAGGACAACCATCCGGGAATTCCCCGGCTCGCAACAACTCGATTTCCCTGGATTGCTTGTAGCCTCTCAGCAGCTCATATGCGATCACTCCCAGCGCCCACACGTCGATGGCCGCAGTGTAAAAGCTCTGCGACCTTGCGTCACCCTTGCAGCTCGTCACCTCCGGCGCCATATACTTCCCGGTTCCACAGCACTGCGACATCTCCTTGGGGTCGTCCGTGGCCACGCCGAAGTCTCCAATCACCACCTCGTGCACGGCAGTAGCGTCCAGCTTGACGAAGATGTTCTCCGGCTTGAGATCCCGGTGGACGATGCCGCTGCTATGTATCCCCTTGAGCGCCTCCGCCAGCCTCTGGATGGTCTTGGCGGCCTCCTCCTCGCCCAGCGGCCCTCCCTTGATCAATCGATGGAACAGGCTAGGACCGCACAGCTCCATCACCATGGTCCCGTAGCAAGCCCCGCCGCTCCTCTCCTTCACGAAGCCCGCCAAGGAGACCACTCCAGCGCATCCGCGGAGCTTGGACATGAGCCGGAGCTCTCTCCCGGCGTCCCTCCCCGCTCGAAACATCTTCCCGGCGTAGCTCGTGGCCCCCTTGAGCACGAAAACCTGGCCCTGGCTCCCGCAACCCAGCCTCTCGCCCCTCGTGTAGATCTTGAGGAGCTCGGCACAATCGTCGTCCTCAAACTCAACGTCTTGGCGGACCATCTCCTCTCGCGCAAGCTTCCTTGAGATGAGAAATAAAAAGGGTAGAAACCCTAGCTTCTCATAACGACTATTTGTCGACGGTTGGGATGGCGTTCTGCCGTCGGCTGAGATGTGACTGCGATCTAGCCGAGAGTAATCTAATTGTTTATTGAATATTCACTATTGACCCGTCACCTTCTTGGGAGTTGACGCCCCAAGCTTGTTCTTGGGGTTGTGCGTGGTGTTGAGTTGCCAGACCAGCTTTTGCAAGTTCCCCGACCTCCCCGGCAAACACATCAAAGTTCTTCCTAGTAGTTCATCCACTTCGCATGCGTTAGATCGAGGAGTGAAGGTTTGGAAACTTGCCTTTGTATGAGAAACACGCAACTCCTTGAGAAGGAGCACGAGCTCCTCCAGTTTCCAGTTGATTGCAAGTCGTTTATAATCCTAGAACAAAGCTTGCAAGGTGAATCCTTGTGAAGAACATGAAAGGTTTGTAGAGGAAGCAAACCTTGTAGCTTTGCTCGTATACAACATGCTTGCAGTTCTGGGAGCCTCAGCCGCTCCCTGTGCTTTCAAATCCTCAATGTCGAACTCCTTTTAAAAGCCAACATGTTAAACTCATTTAGAAACTACTTAAGCTTGTTTTTTTATTTTTTTAACAAGTTTTTCTTTAATCTCACTTAATGAGTTTTTCTTAATCATTTTAACGTCTATATTTCACCATCAATGATTCTGTCTTTGCCGATTTTGATATGTAAGTGCATAAATGTTCTGAGGCAAGCCTTTCACGTGTTGCAGCCAGGTGACTTGGCCTTCCTCTCTACTTCAAAAACCTGATCAACATAAACATACCAAGCTTCATGAGATGTCCTTGGTGCTCTCACTTGAAGAATATCATGAGATTTTGGCCATATTGGAACAACATCTCCTGATTCAAGAAGTTTACATGGTAACCTTGAGGATTTTACATCCTAAACAATTTGATCTCCACGCCATTTTCCATCTGGGATCAGAAACACACATATCTCATGCTCTACGAGCTCAACAGGTTGAATGCAATCAACGCTGAACTTATACATTGCGCTTGTAAGCAGATGCATACTCGAAAACTCACATTTTTCTGGATGACCATTTGTTATTTCATAACGAAAATAATCTGTTGCAAAATAAACCTGCAAAAGAATCAAAGTTCTTCGTAGTAGATCATCCACTTTGCACATGTTAGATTGAGGTGTGAAGGCTTGAAAACTTGCCTGAGAAACACTCAAGTCCTTGACAAGGAGCACGAGCTCTTCTAGTTTCCTGTCACAAGTTGATTGCAAGTTGTTTATCTGCATTTTCAATCCTGGAAAAAAGCTCCCAAGTTGAATCCTTGTGAAGAACATGAAAGAATTGCAAAGGAAGCAAACCTTGTAGCTTTGCTCGTACTGTGACAAGCCCCTAGTGTGCTGCTCCCTGTGCTTCCAAATCCTGGATGTCTTGCTCAATCTTTCTACCAAGAAATACGAGATCAAAAGATTGTGGAAGCTTATATAGCTAGAAATGTTTAGAGGTTCACAAGAAGCACTTTTTTTTGGAGTGTTAATCTCAATTTACAACTATGTTGTTTTGCTTTTCTAGAGATGACACAGACCAATTTATTAAGTATAAGTATAAGGGTACCTAATGAGACTGGTAAGGATCATCATATATTTTTATATATAATTATCTAGAACCATTTAAACATAGATATGATTTCTCCTACATAAATTGGTGTATTTATTTTAAGCCTAAAATAATATTATCTATGACAAATATGAAAATTATTTAAATTTAAATAATTAAATAAATCCATCACCACACCTTTATAAGGTTATAAATAGCAATGTAACCCTTCACAAGGAAATTTTTAAAATTTTAATTTTTGATTTGCAATACCATGAAGAAGAACAACTCAATAACAAATAATATGAGCATTATCAAATTAATGAATGGAAAATATTAATTCTATTTCTCTAAAACTTTGACCTTTTTTTTATAATTATTTCTAAGTCATCATGTACTTTAAATATTTCTTGTGACTATGGTGGAGTGGAAAAAGAAATAATTGTAATAGGAAATACATATATTTAAATATGGCTATAATTAATAGCTATAATGAGTGAAAAGTAAATCTACTAGATTAGTGAGTGAAGGATATAATTGTAACACTACTAATAGTTGCACAAATTGAAAAATTGACAAATTTATTTAAAAGAGAGTGTGCTCAAATTATTATGGTATTATGGTGCATTAATAAAAGGTTACACCATCAATAAAAAGCTAAAAACTAACATAAAAATCAAAAACCTTAATAATTTTGCTAGATCAGTCTTCAGTAATTTTGAGTAGTTAATCCCACTAACCTTCATCTCCAAATTTTATTCTAAAAGTTATTTTTGCAATGATGTAAAATATTTAATATAACTTATAAATAATGTGAAATTTACTAAGAAAATATTTCACTTTCCTTTTCTATTAAAAATACTTTATTTTCTCTTCAATCAAATAGATTTTTTACTAAATTTTCAATAAAAAATATTAGAAAATTAAATTAAATATAAAATAGGATGAAAAAATTTATTTATTATTTAAACAAGGTTAATTGTGACTTATAATGTGAAGTTCTTAAATTTCATTATGGTTAATGCTAAATAGAAGGTTATGCCTGTATAAAAGTTTATGGAAGAGAAAATTTATTAAATAAAAATATTTATAATGATTAAAAAGAAATAATATAATTGTTTTGCTTTCATAAGTTTCATGGATATTATTTTTTGTTATTAAACTCTTTCTCTTCATGATATTATTCATAAAAAATTAAAATGTTAAAAATTTCTTGATTGTAGTAGTGAGAAGATAAACATTTTCTAAATATAATTACTTATATTTTAAACATTTATATGTTACACCCTCTCTCTATATATAGAATAACTAGCTTAAATAAATTAACTAGTTTTATGTAATAAATAATAATACTTTAAAGAAATCATGTTTATATTTAAATAGTACTAGGTAATTATCAATGTTTTTGATGAAATAAAGTAGAAAATAATACTAACTAAATCCTTATACTTTGTTTTTTATTATTCTTTATTGGTCTAATTAAGTGCCTTTAATTTGATAAATTGGTGTGTGTTATCTCTAGACAGGTAAAATAACATAGTTATAAATTGAAATCAACACTCCAAAAAGAAGTACTTCTTATAAACTTCTAAACACTAAAAGCTAATATGCTGAGTTTTAATGTTAAGTTTGAATCAAGAAAAATTTTAAAATCAATATGAGTTTGTATCATATAATTTTTGAAATATATGTATTATTACGTAATTATATAAGTATTAAAACACATATAGTTTTACATTTATAAGTATAGAGCTTAATTAGATTTATAGCATGGTTTTCAGGTGCTTATGTGCATAATGCAAGTTAAGAAATCCTCTTGGAGTCAATGTGGTTTACAAAGCTTGTAAGATATTTACAAACAAAGAATCAGATAAAGGTGTTTCATGTAATTTTAAAACTGAATTTGATTTTAGATCCTAAATCATTTTTGTTTTTGGTTTTTTTTAGATGCCACTACAAGTGGGAGCTCCAGCTACACTAACTTTAAGGCAACTGATGGTATGGATTATAGAATGATGTAAAAATTGATTAGTTTCTATGTCTTTTATCAGATATAAATATCATGACACCAAAACATAAACTTTTTATAGATTCACAACTACTAATTTTCTTCAGTCTCTAGTACAAAGGTTTTGTCTAATGATGACAATGCTTTCCAAAAGATTTTGAGTATGATGGCCTTGCTGGATAAGCCTCATTGCTCGCAGCATATGACAGATGATATTTTACAGATTTGATTTAAGGATGACGGTGATGGTTCTCTTCCCAAACTTTTGAGTGCTCGTGGTGGTCGGAATCAAGATACCACAGAGTTAATGCAAACCCTTTACAAAGACATAGGATTGTGTA